GATTAATAAGTATAATAAATTATTTTTGAATATATATAAAAATTATATATCCAAAACATATGTTGCTAAAAGATATTTATGTTGTGTGAGAGATAATAGTGATCAATACATATATTTTCATTTAACTAGATAGATATGGAGAGCGATGTGGAAATTTCTGATGAAGAGAACTTTTCAATGAAAGGTAAGGAAAGGAATAATAACTTCTCAAGTCTTAATTTAAAAACAAATTAAGCCAGATTCCAAAAAAAAAAACAAATATTTCGATGAAATATATTTAATCACTTATAAACTTTTTTAAAACTGAAATATTGTAAAAAGAAATCGAATTTTATCAAACATTTTTTTTAAGGTTCTCCTGTGAGTGCTGGAATAGCAAAAGCTTATGTCAGAGTTGCGTTAACCTTAAAGGAAGCCGAGTCCTTAAAAGTAAGAAATAATACTTCTTCTGTATTCTTTAAATTCGGTTGACAGATTTTTAATTTTATGAAATTATAATTCTTTTTAATCAGAAGAAATCGACAAGTATCTATATCTATAACTGGATATGAAATTTCGTGATTGCGATACGTCTTATATAACTTAACCCTTTCGAAGGCCGTGGGAAGTATACTTACCACCACTTTTTTACCACTTTAAATTTAGGTTTCCATTTGTTAATAACTTCACCTTTCTTGAAGTGCGTTTGAATAAAATTGGTGACTATTTGCTAGTTTAAAAAAATGTACGAAGGTTATAAAATACATAATTCCTTTTGAAGATTGTAGCATTTATAAAATTAATTTTATAAATAACAAAAAACAAAAGTCAATAAGTTCCTAATAGGTCATTTTAAATATATTTACCACCAAAAAAATAGCATCTTAATAAACTAGGTGAGTTTTTTTTCTTGCATCAATTACTATTCTTAAAACAATTTCAGTTCCAAAAATATATTAATTTACTTTTACTAGAAATAAATGGCCCTTTAAAGGGTTAAGTGGTAAATTAAAACAAAATTCTGAATTATTTAAGTGTAAATGCGCGATCATTATTCCCATGAAATTATTTTGTGATCACTGAAAATATGGATGAGTCAATAGTATCAATCAGTCAGCTGAGTTGTATTATAGAGACGTCAGTGTAAAAAATTAAAAGATTTCCATTTTAATAAAAAAATATTTTTCCATTTTTGTTTACTTTTTTTCATAAATTTAAGGATAAAAAAATCATTTATTTCTCTGTTTGAATTTGTTTTGATAAAGCGAGGCATTCGTGTCAATCACAACACATTTGACCATATATGGCGCCAATGGAAAACAAGTATTCTAGCACCTCTTGCCTTAATGGCCTATGGCAACAACAACAACAAGAGCAGTACATTTACCCTCTTTCGCAGATGGGACACCGTTATCTTCTTTCTTTCTGTCAAGTAAAAAAATATATTTAATACTTTTGAATTCCGAAAAAAAGCAGTCTAATAGTTACCGAAAAAAAAGATTCTCGGAACTATATTTGTTCTAAAATATAAAATCCAAAAAAGTAGTTAAAATTTTTAAAAATTCATATTCAAAAATTTATGAATAACTGATTTTTGCAAATTAAACAAATTTCGATGACGAATTACTGTTTCTCTTAGATCTATTATAAATAAGTGCGAATTTGAAAAATTATTGTTTGGAAGTGAGTCATGTTTGGAAAAATTTACCTTTACCGCAAAAAGGGACACCTGTGTCCGATGTTGTATTTCATGACCAAAAATTATTAAAATGCTAAATATAATATTTTGTCCTAAGTTAATTCAAAATAATAGAAAAATATTGAAATTAGGTTTAATGAAAATTCTGAGTAAAGGGGTTAAACCATTTGTGCCTAAAGTCCTTTTGGACGGACAGTTGCCTTAGAACGCTGAATATTAAGGGCCTACTTCCACGAACTTACATCAAACAGATAAAGACTAGCAGCTCAATTGTTTTATTCTTGGAATTTATCTGTGTGAAACAAAAGACCCGTACTTACCATAGCTAATTAATGGTTCTATGTGGTACTCTTACCAACAAAGTTGATAGTTACGTTCAGTTCACAATAGATTTGTAAGTGGTTACCTACAACTCCCCATCTTCGTATAGGAGCATAAAGTATTTCGGACGTGGGCCAACAATATGTTTCTAATGCCACTTGCCAATACTAGCAGGCATGCTTGGTGAGACCAAGCGGATTTAAGGCAGAGATTGCGTTTTTTGTTTTTCAATTTATCCACAGATCGTAATTTTAACCCAAACCAGAGAATGACCAATCTCTAATTCAGTACCCCCAGAGGTATTAATAATGTATGGGAATTTGGAGGACTTTGTGACCCGACAGTTTCAGTATTAACGTGCACCAGTCACGATTGATTATACGCACGGGGAGTCTACACCCGGCCGGTATCGCTCTCACGACGTCTCTGATATGGGCAAAACTCCCTACCAACCTTGGTCAGATATAAATGCTTTGTATGATATATATATATATATATCACTTATTTCAGATGCACTGTGTTTCTTACTATAATTTTCGCATCGCTATAAATGAATGCATTACCGGTTTTTGTATTTTACTCTAAGTGAATATTTATATGCTGGTAATTTTACGTTTCTGAATTTTCTTTTCAGCCAGGTGAAATTCTTGTGACTTACAGTACTGATATTGGTTGGACGCCTTATTTTCCTATGCTTGCGGGTGTTGTTACCGAAATCGGTGGACTTATATCTCACGGTAATGCAGCTCTTAAAATTGTGTTAACTTTATTTACTGCCCATCTACAAAAGTGTTAATATTTTTTTACTACTAAATTATTCTTTTATTATTTAATACAGAATTGAGTTTATAAAATATCTAAGTATTCTATTTTGTATTTTCCTAAAGCCTCTTAAACTCCATTGAGTATGTACAACAAACTTCTTTTTTCCAATGCCCATTCAATTGACACTGATAATTAAGGTTATTAGTAGGGCAAAATTTGTTGACTACTCTTTCAGGGGCACCATATTAAGTAGGCCAACGTTGCTCTCACAGTGAAAACAGACAGTACAGAGATTGAAACGGACATCCATGCCTTGTCTGGGATTCGAACCCAAGACCTTTCTGATGTAAGATCAGCTCTCTGACCACTACACACTCCAGTCAACGTTCACAACCGACTTCAAACGAAGTCTTCACGCAGTTGAAATCACCAATTCGTAATGCACCTATAATTAATTATATTTTTTACATATGTACGTGAAACTAAATTTTGTTGCTTAGTTTTTTTGTTACAAACAGTTTTCTTGAATATCGTTTTTCCGAGAAAATACAGGGTTTAGGCAAAAATATCGAAATAATTCTATGCTAAATGTGTGTAAACAGTCTTATTTAAAGCATTAAAAATTTTACATGGCAAAACTGTTGATAAAGCTTGAAAGATGATGCTTGAAGTTTTTCTAAATGCAAAATTTTCATAGACGAAGAGAGGAAGATAATGACTCCTTTTTAGTATTAAATACCAGCAATAGTTAAATCATGCCATAAGATTGTATTATTTATATTATAAAGCTTTTGTAATTAAAGTGCTATTGAAAAAGGAAGTAAGCTTTTATTTCCTACTTTCATTTTGTCGATGTAACTTTGGCATGGGTAAAGTATACATAATTTTTGAAAGATTAAAGCATGAATGTGCAAATAGTACCCACATTTTTTCCATGTTTAATCTCCCAATACACTTGCTGCTCAAAGAAAAATTGTTTACATCATGTAAGTATAGACGTGTTTCCATTATTCTGATCAACCCCTGTAAATATATGTTTAAATAGGTAGGCATTCATTGTTCCTTTATAATTCAAAAAAATCGCAAAACTTTTTATTCATAATTAACAAGTTCGCAAGTTTCGCAGTTTAAAGAGCAGGAAAAGAAGGTTCTAGAAACGGACACACTGCGCGAAACAATACGTTAACTTGTCATATGAAAAATCTGGTTAATACTCGTACATTATCTTATCCAATAATGCTGGAAGTTTATGCACAAAATGATAGCATTCAATTTGTGATAAAACCATAAAGTTTTTTGTTGATATTAAAAATAATTTTTAAGTCAAATGCAGAGATGCCAACTTGCTCCGGACAGCAAATATATATTTTAAAGTTGTAGTATACCAATTGTGATTCTTGGCTTAATAAATTCAATTTAGTAGATTTTTATCCGGCACTATTTCTAAATAATTCGTAGGCTTACATAATTCACCACTTCATAATACTTATGTCGTGCTATACCTCTTAAAAAGCAAGCAAAAATAGTCAAATATTTGCAAAATTTACCTTGTAGTTATTTACCGTTTTTTTTAATTATTTTGGCATGTCCGGAGCAGTTGGCATCTCTGCAAATGTCTACCAATAGATCGGCTTCATTAAATAGCGTACCTGAAAAAGAAGAAATTACTTTGATAATTTATTCTTGGTTTCTTAAAAAGTTCTAATTTTGCGCACGTATTTTGTGTAGTGTTGATTAACGTAGGAAAATTATTATTATTTCAGGTGCCGTTGTTAGCAGAGAATATGGACTTCCGTGTATTGCTGGTATTCATGGAGCAACGAGGCAATTTAAGACTGGTAATAAAAAATTATGTGTAATTAGAAAATTAAAGTAATTTAAATTGAATCAGTAAATAAGACAAAGAGAAATAATATACGTTATCAGGGATGCCACAGGTGACTAAAAATGTAAAAAAGAGGTAGGTAGAAACTCAATTTATTTTTAATTATTTGTTTTCTCGTTAATTTTTCAATCGTAACTACCACTATGACTAACATTTCAAATCATTCATATTTAAAAAAAAAAACAAGCATTAACTGCAAGTAGTTGAAACATGGTGCATCAAATGGCGCACAAAACCACCCCGACAAAAGTCAATTCTTAATCATAAATAGTAAGAAAAAACAACAAAATACTCCCCACATCTATCTCTTTAATACCAAGATCAAACCAGTTAAACACTTAGGCGTCACGATCTCATATAATTTGAGCTGGAGTACTCACTTAAACGACATAATCAAAAGAGCCAGAGGAGCGTTTTTTGCGCTCTAAGTCCTCCTGCATAAGAATTCAAAGCTTGATCTATCAAATTAGAGAACTATCTATATACAAGCGATTCGACCAATTCTTACGCATGCTTGCCAAGCCTCCACACGGTTTTTTCCAGGTAGTCCGATCTGACCACTGTGAAGGATATCCACTTACCGAACGAGTCATTTAATACAGAATATAGTTAAAATAAGAAAGTGGTAGCAAATATATGACTAAAAATTTATTTTATTTATGAATATTATTGGTTTACTTTATTCATTTGTCAACCACTACAGATTCAATTCTCAAATATATAAGATAAATTTTTCTCAATTATTTTTATAAAAGGTTTTGGGTCCATGCGCAAAACTGGTTCACTTTTTAAACAGTCTGCGCGGACTACTTATAAAAGACCGTGTGGAGGCTTCTTGATGTAGGAGGTGATGGACCAGCCCTCGCTACTATAAGCAACAACCTAAAAAAGAAGCTATCTATAACGGAAGGTAAATTTTTACGCACAATGACTGGCGCCCCAAGGGCGATTAGCAATAGATTACACAGAAAAGACTTAAACATTGATGATATCAATTGCTTTATAGCTAAATTGACCACAAAATTTTATAGCGACGCAAAAACATGCACCACATCAGATTTCAATAAGTTGTTCGATATTGATATAATCCGCGATAATTCGAATTTCAGCCCCATTACCGCCTTTTTATGCTCAGACTGCATACTATCAAAATACTATTAACTTTATCATACAGCTCTACTCAAGGGGATCTCCCCATTCCAAACATGATTTCACTTCAAAACTAAAGATTTACTTCTTTAAGGACTTGATTTGTTGTTTCAACATACTGCAACTTCATGGATATTTAGGATCTCCTAGAATACGACAAAACAGATTCGATGAATCGGTTAGTGGCGCTTCGCGCCAAACGCCGAGATAACCTCAATATCCAGCATCCAGTATCCAGCATTAACTGCATCATTTAATAAAATGTTTCATTTCAGTAATTACCACTTTTTGCATTATAAGCCACCTGTTGCAACCCTATATTATTTTCTATTTCTACTTGTTTCAGGTGATTATGTTCAATTGGACGGCAACAAAGGTATTTTGCAACGATTAAAGAAAGTAGAGATTGCTGAAACATCACTTTAGTTCAACATTTAAGGAAAAAGGAATAATAATTATGAGTGATACTGTTTCAAGCTGGAATACTTAAATTCGTTTCTTCATTACATCCTTAAAACTTTTAAACGTTAGTTTTTATATTATTGTGATTAAATCAATGCAAATAATTCAGAATACAAACTTTCAGGAAAAGTATTTTTTCTTTACGTATGCACATTTTCTATTTTAAAATAAAAAAATATGTTGTAATATTTGTTATGTATTTTCTTTTTGCAATTTCTATTTCAGGAGTATGTTAAAAGTTAACATTTCCATATAGTTAATCTAATTTGGAGTATGTTAAAGTTGATCTATTTTTATTTTATTTTATTTTATAACCGACTTTAAACAACGGACCTAATTCTGAGTTTACGACTATCAAAGTTCATCTTCATAACCTTGTAATTTTGAACCTAATCCAGAAGACAAGGGAGCTCCTGGATCAAGAATCGGGACAAACTAGCCTTCACGGAGGACTTTTATATGGAACTAACCCGCATATACGTTACATTGAGAGGAAAACCACGAAACCTCCCATGGTTAGCCCGACTGCAAGGGGATTCCAATCCATGATGCATCTACCACTGAGGATATTTTATGTGAGCACCGTGACTGGTGCGAGCCAAGAGCAGAGCTCATATTGACCAGCCACCAATGGGATTGGAATCTACAGTACCTCAGTGGAAGGCCAGCTCTTTTTATCTCTTAAGCCCCCGAGGCTTAAAAGTTGATCTATGATGATTTTGACCACGGTTAGACTTAAATAGGTTTAAATGAATAAATAGTCTTGATAGCATTCTTTAAAATTTTTAAATGTTCGATCAAGTTCAAAAAAATTCTACTTGCAATTATAAATTTAGTGACTATGCCGTTGCCACAATAAAAAAATCTGAAAAAGAAAGCATAAAGAACGATATTTATGTAAATGTTATTTGCTTAGCACTTTAAATATGCAGTGAACTAGGTATTCTGGCTTATGCATTTTGAAACTATCATGTACTAGATTCCATTTGGCAATGCTTCGAAGCTCGGCGTGCGCTTTTAAACATACTCTTTGTTGTTCTTTTTTCTAGTCAAATTATAGGATAGATGCTAGTATGAAGCAACTCTTACAGCAAAAATAAGATATTTTTACTTTTTATATAAAATAATATCTGAACAGGTAGTTAAACTAAACAGTTTGAAAAAAATGCTGAAAGGAATGTTTTGTTCTTTCACAAACTGAATTAATAATCTAGAATCGTAATTGTTAACCCTATTTCTTCTATGATTAGATTTTATGTTTTATAAATATATACAGCACATTGTACTAAAATTTCATGTGAGAAATTCCTTTTTTGTTCCATTTGTATAGCATTAATTTACATCATCAATACATGAACAAAACACCAATTTTCAAGGGAATCGGAAATAAAAATATTTTTTTATTAAATTTACTTATGTAAGCTTTTTTTATTTTATTAATTGCAAGAATTTGTTAGCATAATTTTCAGTAGCATAAAACTGAGATTGTTATCTTCTTTAAATTGCATTTAATCTTTTTTTTTATTTTCAATCTCTTTGATTATTAAATCCAGTTATAAGAAAAATGCTTTTGTCATTTTTTAAAAAACAATTTCAGTCTCTAATTTTTATATAACATGCATATTTATATTAAGTTATTGTATGGATTTTATTAATGATGCAATGAATTTAAAAAAGGAAGCAAGTATATGACCTTATTTTATTACAATTTAAAACTATCTTGTCTCATTTTTGTCTGATAGCTCTGGCAGAAAATAGTTCAGTTGATTTAATTTTACGAGTAACGTTATTTTGTAAGTTGACATATATAAATTACTAAAAAATGTATTTTGAAAATAAGACTGTTTTATCATTATTCCGCCGTATATATTTCATTTCTTCTATAACTGTATGTTGTTTCAGTAGCAAGTTAACAATTATGTAATCAGTCGCAAGCATTTAAAACTTTTTTCGACTTTAAAACAGCATTTTAAATTTCAGCAGCTGACAATAATATAATCAGCTGCAAGCAGTTAAAACTACATTTGGACGGAAGTTCTAAGGAGGTTAGCTTCTATCCACAAATGCATAAATGCCAACTTTTACGCATTTGGCGTAAAATTTTATTTCTATATTTAAAGTCGTAGTAAAATGTTTGATTTATATATATTCCTTGCATTTATAAACTTAATTTATCTGCCCGCTAACGCTCACCAACCCCCGAAAATTGCTACACAATCTTATATGTTTTGCTTCACAAGCCAAGCTCGCTTCGCTCGCTACTAACTTAGGTACATTACAAATGCACAAAATTCTAAGAATTCAAAACAATCATTCAAATCCATATAAAAACTTTTTTTTACAAAAAAATTACATATTTTTAGTAAATACTAAGTCATTAAAATAAATTTGAATTCAAATAAACGACATGTAATTCGTTAAACCTATTAGAAATGTGCTATAGTATAATTCGTGATATAAATCAAGAATCGTCAAATAAATTCGTAATNNNATAAATAATTAGTCAATATTAGATAATATTCGGGAGGAGTTAATCTATTCTCAACAATAACAATTCACTGTAAGGAAATTTATCATGGCGAAGAAGCAATTCAATATAAAAATTGCATCCGTTAAAAACAATTGGTAGTTATGAATTTTTATTATTCCCGGAAAAAAAACTAAAAAACGAAATTTATTGTTACCAGTTTTTACTCCGGTGCGCTGCCAAGATGAGACAATCTAGCGTGACCCACCGGTGGGTCACCCCGGCGTGAACGTGTTAATAAAATGTTTCCTTTTAGTAATTACCACTTTTTGCATTATAAGTCACCTGTTGCAACCCTATATTATTTTCTATTTCTACTTGTTTCAGGTGATTATGTTCAATTGGACGGCAACAAAGGTATTTTGCAACGATTAAAGAAAGTAGAGATTGCTGAAACATCACTTTAGTTCAACATTTAAGGAAAAAGGAATAATAATTATGAGTGATACTGTTTCAAGCTGGAATACTTAAATTCGTTTCTTCATTACATCCTTAAAACTTTTAAACGTTAGTTTTTATATTATTGTGATTAAATCAATGCAAATAATTCAGAATACAAACTTTCAGGAAAAGTAATTTTCCTTTTCGTATGTACATTTTCTATTTCAAAATAAAAAAAATATTTTGTAATATTTGTTATGTAATTTATTATTTTTTTTTTGCAATTTCTATTTCAGGAGTATGTTAAAAGTTAACATTTCCATATAGTTAATCTAATGGGGAGTATGTTAAAGTTGATCTATTTTTATTTTATTCTATTTTATAACTGATTTTGAACAACTGATCTAATTCTGAGTTTACGACTATAAAAGTTCATCTTCATAACCTTTTAATTTTGAACCTAATCCAGAAGAAAAGGGAGCTCCTGAATCAAGAATTGGGACAAACTAGCCTTCACGGAGGACTATTATATGGAACCTACCCGCATTTACGTTACGTGGAGAGGAAAACCACGAACCCACCGACTGTAAGGGATTCCAACCCATGATGTATCTACCACTGAGGATATTTTATATGAGCACCGTGGTTGGTGCGAACCAGGAGCAGAGCTCATATTGACCAGTCACCAATGGGATTGGAATCTACAGTACCTTATTGGAAAGCCAGCTTTTTATCTCTGAGGCCTAAAATTTGAACTATGATGATTTTGACCACAGTTAGATTTAAATAGTTTAAATGAATAAATAGTCTTAATAGCATTCCTTAAAATTTTTAAATTTTCGTTAAGTTAAAAAAATTTTACTTACAATTATAAATTTAGTTACTATGGCGTGCCACAATAAAAAATCTAAAAAAGAAAGTACAAAGAACGATATTTATGTAAATGTTATTTCCCTAGCACTTTAAATCTGCAGTGAAGTAGGAATTCCGGCTTATGAATTTTGAAACTATCATGCACTAGGTTCCATTTGGCAATGCCTCGAAGCTTGGCGTAAATTTTTAAACATACTCTTTGTTGTTCTTTTTTCTTGTTAAATTATAGGATAGATGCTAGTATGAAGTAACTCTTACAGCAAAAATAAGATATTTTTACTTTTTACATAAAATAATATCTGAACAGGGAGTTAAACTAAACAGTTTGAAGAAAATGCTGAAAGGAATGTTTTGTTCTTTCACAAACTGAATTAATATTGTAAAATCGTAATTGTTAACACTATTTCTTCTATGATTAGATTTTATGTTTTATAAATATATACAGCACATTTTACTAAAATTTCATGTGAGAAATTCCTTTTTTGTTCTATTTGTATAACATTAGTTTACATCATCAATACATGAACAAAACACCAATTTTCAAGAAAATCGAAAATGAAAATATTTTTTTATTAAATTATTTATGTATGTTTTTTTAATTTATATTTTTATTTTATTAATTGCAAGAATTTGTTAACATAATTCTTAGTAGCATAAAACTGAGATTGATATCCTCGTTAAATTGCATTTAGTCGCTTTTTTTATTTTCAATCTCTATGATTATTAAATCCAGTTATGCTAATTAGAAAATACGCTTGTAATTTTTTAAAAAATATTTTTAGTTTCTAATTTTTTTTACGCGCATATTTATATTGAGTTGTTATATGGATTTTATTAATGATGCAATGAAGTAAAAATTGAAGCAAGTATATGACCTTATTTTATTATAATTTAAGGGGGGACCCCATTCTGAGATGGTAAAATATTAACGTTTTTCTTGAATTTTTTTTAAGTAATAGAGACAATGCTGAGACTCCTTGTTTTTTTAAGTTATTTAGCTGCAATTTAAGTCTTTTAAAGCATTTTCTTTTACAAAATAATAAAAAATAAGTTGGTGGCAGCTCCGTGTGTGGCGAGTTATCAAAAAGTAGCATCTCACTGGCCTCATAAGTTTAGAAGTCCTGAAACATAGGAAAGCGATTTTGTTTAGATTTTCTGAAACATAAAGACATAATTTAAAAAGTAGCATATCTGTTTTTTTGATACACGCAAAATTATCAAAATGGCGGCAACTTAAAAAAAAATCCTAAGCTACTTTCTAAAGAATATATTTTTACGTAGTTTAAAATAAAGAACAGCTTATTTCGTTGTATAGATCATGAGAAAAACGTTAGGCCAGCTCAAAAAACTGCGTTTTGAGAAAAACGCGTTTAAAGTTATGACTTATATTAGGGGAAAACGTTTAAT